GTGAGGGTTGTTCTGGATTTCCCACAATCCTTCATTGAAACCTTTCCTTTTGTTGGGCTTCCCGTATTTGTCCTTGTACTTCTCATAAGGGAAGAGGTCCTTGGGGCCCAAAAATGCCCTGCAGGATACGGACAGAGCAAAGAAGAAACGGAAGGGTTTGGAGAGAAAGGGATGGTAATCCCACACTGCTTATGCCCCCGACTCACCCACAGGAACCTCCCAAAGGGGGCACTTACGTCTCGTGGGTGCCGAAAAAGAAGATGGGGTATTTGTTGGGGGGAGGCTTCACAGCCCCATCAACGATGTCGTCAATCTGGAAAAAAAAAGAGGGAGACAAAAATCAATAAAAAGTTGGAGGCTGAACGAAAGATCGACCACATTCAAGCAGGAACCAGCCCAATATCGCGGCTAAATGGCGTCACGCGAGAATCATACAGGTTTTATACCTGCCTGAGAGCTGAAAAGGTAAGTGGACGGTATGCAGGTAGACCTTGCTTAACGGCCATAATTGGGACCGGAAACTCTGTTGCTAAGCGGTGTGACCGTCTCAGCTGGCTTCCGATAAGCAAGACCATACTTGGAATATTGCATCCAGTTTTGGTCGTCATGAGATCACATCAGATGTTTAGCAATTGGTTCATATTTATGACAGTTGCAGTATCCTGGGGGGGTCACGTGATCCCCTAAGGACTACCTGTATATTTATTTTTAAAATGTATTGGTCATCCATCTAAAAATTGGCTTACAATCATAGATAAATAAGAGTAGAGTAGAGTAGAGTAGAGTAGAGCAGAACATAAGAGAATGGAGTGGAGTGGAGTGGAGTGGAGTAGAGTAGAGTAGAATAGAATATTGAGAATAGAATAGAATAGAATAGAATGGAATGGAATGGAATGGAACGGAATACAGTAGAGTAGAATAGAATAGAATCTTTATTGAGAATAGAATAGAATAGAATAGAATAGAATAGAATAGAATAGAATAGAATAGAATAGAATAGAATGGAACGGAGTAGAGTAGAGTAGAGTAGAGTAGAATCTTTATTGAGAAGAGAAGAGAATAGAAAGAATAAGGAATGGAAGACTAGACTAGAATTGAATATAACAGAATAGAATAGAGCAGAATATAGACTAGAATAAAATAAAATATCTTTATTGTCATTGTGTAACTCACGACAAAATTAAGTGCTGTCTACATTGCACACTACACACAAGTAAAAACCACAAATAAGAACATACATGACATACACACATCCTTCACATTCTATTCACCATTGCGCTGCCCCTAATATTGCACTTCAATGTTGCATTACATACATACGTACGTACGTACGTACATACATATTCCTGTTAAAATGGGGTATCCAGAACTGAGCAGAATTTGGCCTTAGAAATAAAACTTTCTTTGGGACGAGTCAAGTCTGAACAACGGTTCCGATACAAACAGCACATATAATTCTCTGGACTGGAATCCCTAATACAAAAAATATGTTTTTGTTTTTGTTTTACAGAATGTACAGATTAAGAACAGGTTTGTCAGGACAGGAACACAAAGGATTGCGTAGCTCCTGTTCCGCCGTTTTTAGTTTATGCAAGGACATTATCCAGTGTGGGAACAGGACAATCTTTTCCAATTCCCCCAGATGTTCTTGGAAGAAAAACAGCACCTGGGGTTACCATCACTGCATGAAAACCTCCGAGCAGTTTAGCAGCAAGCAGGCAAAGTTGCAAAAAAAATGGCACTTAGCTAGATGTGGGGAAAAGGGCTTCTCCAGTCCTCCACTTACGGCAGTTCACTGCTAAGCAAAGTAGCTACTGAGTGAGTTGCGCCTGATTGTATGACCTTTTTTTTTTTTTTTGGTCACAGTTGTTACATGAATCACTGTAGTTGTTAAGTTAGTAGCACGGCTGTAGAGTGAAATCTGGCCTTTGCTTGTCGGCCAGTGGCAAAAGGGGATCACGTGACCCTAGGATGCTGCAACCGTCATAAATATGAGTCAGTTGCCAAGTGTCCGAATTTTGATCGTGTGATCATGGGGAAATGATGCAATGGTCATTAAATGTGAAATATATATATATATTTTTGCTCTTTAGGTCTAGGTTGCTTCTCTCCTTGATTAGTTTCCATCCGTTGCTTCTTGTCCTGCTCTCAGGCGCTTTGGAGAATAGCTTGACTCCCTCTTCTTTGGGGCAGCCCCTTAAGCACTGGAAGACACAGGTATAGTATAGGTCCATGGTGGCAAACCTATGGCACGCGTGCCAGAGGCGGCACTCAGAGCCTTCTCTGTGGGCATTCGCGCCATCACCCCAGTCCTAGACCTTCAGCTGGGTTTTATACAACCTTTCAACTTTAAGCCTCCACCATGTGCAAAAAAAAAAAAAGATTCAATCAATCAATTTCAACTTTTCAGGGGGAAAAAAGATCTCGCAAAGTTGGAATTGATTGATTGAACTTTTTAGTCCCACCCAGTCTGCCGTT